TTAAAAAGAATGTGGTTTTCAAAATATGAAGCTGGTAAGCAAAGGGAACCTTATCAATTCTGGCAAAAATAAGGGAAACTCACCTGAACGATCTCCCTAGTCATGTATAACTTCGAAGTGATCTCGGATGCGTGCTTCTTCGTGGTTGGCACGTAACCCTTCAAGTAAACCGTAAGATGATGCAGCAGAAAAAAAATGTTTTTCCTCCTAGCATTATCAGTAATTTAAGCCCTAATGTGTAGTGTCACAGACCTTTTTCGGCCAGTAAGGCAGCTGAGTGGTAGTTGAAGCGGTGCTTGCGGTACCATTTGCTGTGTTTGTAAATGCGGATGTTTCAATTGTCGACGTGAGCTCTTTATTCGGTTGAGACGAAGTGATTTCTGACTGATTAAGCCCTTCTGTAGCACTGGCTCTCTCTACTTCTTGTAGATTTTCTGAACTTGTTGTGTTTTCCCCTGGGACTTCGATCGTGTCTGCCTGCAGTTCTAGGTCGTTGAATGATTCCGTAGGTGAGCTGGACGTTTGCTGAGCAGCGGTGCTTTCTGTGAAATCCTCTGAATCCTCTGTTTGGTTGCTGACAGAGTATACCGGCGATTCCGATGTTGGTGGTTCAGAGTTATTTTTTGTAGTTGTGTGAAGGTATTCTGTTGTCGCATCTTGATCAAAGGCTTCAGTTTCCATTGTAGTTGAGGAAGAATCAGCAGAGGCGCCTTCTGTAGACGGCACTGGGACAATTTCCGTTGATGCTATCGCTCCACTTGTCACAACTTTGTTCAGCTTAATGTCGCCGACAAAGTTCAACGGTGATATCCCTTTGGATACTTCAATGGAGCCTGCAGTGGTGGCCGTGGTAGCACGAGAGGTGGTGGTGCTCGGAATGGTGCTCGTCGTGAATCGTAACTTGTACGCCTCAATAAGCGCTTTCATCAGCTTCTTGTTTCTGTGTAGAACTCTTCGAATTCTCATGTCATTTATGGGAATCTTATAGTCAGTCGTCGATTCCAGCTCTCGTGGTACATCTCCACCGGTCGACTGCGTGGTTGTATGCGGCTCAATGATTCGGTCCTCGAAAGGTTTCCATGGCTCTTTGCCGGTCATTGGCTTGCGCTCTATCGCTGGTTTGAGATGTTTCGGTAGATCAATGGTGAGAGTGCTGACGAACGTGTTCTGCTTCCTCTTGTCCTCCTCTACTCTCGATTTTCTGAACAAATCTCATTAACAAACACCAGACTTCGTTCTATTATATAAAATTCCTTACAGGGGATGTGGCTCGTTTTCTGAAGCAATTTTCTTCCTCAGCGGCTGTGAAGTGGAGTCTTCCTGATTCAAATGCTGTTCAAGCGCTTCTATCGTGCGAGTAAGCTGCCCATAGTAATTTCTTCTCCGGTGACTGCTTTCTGATTGCTTCTCTATCGTTCTTGACGGTACAACTTCACCGGAGACGTGAGCCTGAAGAGAAAGGGTTGTGTTTGGATAATAATGCCATCTAACCAAAAACCTTCGTCGTTACATGAGTAGGATTTTCGTATGACTTTCGAAGTGCTTTCTCATGTATATGCCTACGATGAGCGCATTCTAGCAAAACTTGGGGAAATCAGGGTTCGAAATGTCACATCACCGTACACCAGTATTTCCATTCATGGGAAATGGACATGAGCAATATTTCCAATCATCAAAAAGGAATCTCGATGAAGCTGCGCGGTCATCGAAATCCCCAGCAAACACCGAACATTCATCGACGGCCTATTCATGCCCCAGGACATTTTCGTATCGTCTGTCAAAGATTCAAGTGATCCCGCCAGTTCGTTGAGCAGTCTGGTGGATCAGAAATTCGGGATGTTTGCCCCAGTCCTTTTAGATAGAAGCCTAAAAACGGCAGCTGGTACTTAAACGATGTTCTTCCTTATATGGTCGAATTTGAATGTTCACTTTTCTCGTATAAACATATTCTGAACCAACAAGCTCCAAAATAGAAACTAACAACAAAGTAGGAACTACCAACAAACGGCTGACTTATTTCCTCGATGTTCAATTTCGGATCTCTGCGGGCACGTGTCAGATGTAATCGCGAACCCGTTAGAAATAGGTGCTAATCGATCTGGTTTACTGATCATTGTAATTCTCGAAAAACCGCTGAAGTTTGGTTCTTTCGCGCATTTCTACGGTTTCACTAGTAAGACAGACGGATAAAGCTGCACAGAAATACCCAGACCAAACACTGAAAATCCTTTCTGAACCCGTGCAGATGATTGTCACCTATTTTTGCGAGTCCCCTTTTCTGCAGCTGTAAATGCGGCATTGATGCCATCCGCTGAACAAACCAAGGTACTCACCTTTGAACGAGTTGTTTCCGGCGCAGCCGCAGCAACCGCGGTCTCCAGTTGTCCTTTTCGTAAAAATTTCTTCTCTACTATCACTCTTACTGATGGCTGCTGGTGGCCGGAGCGACTTGGCAGATCAACAGCATCCGGAGATGAGCCCTCCTAAAAGAATTGCTACATACCGTTGTTCTTGTGAAGACGGAAATTGGACGTCACTGAGATTATTGATGTCTTCTCAACTTTCAGCTAATCGTGCGCCATGCATTCTACTTCCATTAAGATTTGGATTGGCTTTTGGCTTTTGAGTGCGATTTGGGATTTTGTACAGTGGGTTGTGGGAGCCAACCCTTGCACGAGTCGATATTTTTATCCCCCCAAACGAGCCTGTGCTAAATCTACCACGGCCGATAAAGGCTTCATTGGCTTGGGCGAGATTTGTTCCAGGATCCGTTCTCCATACCGCTGATGCGGTAAGCGACGCCTCTGCCACTAAAGCACTTCTGAAGATACTTAATAAGTAGAAGCAAATGCAAAAGTATAGAAACTGTCAAGATCTGGGATCGTATAAAGCCTTTGGCTTCGTTCTGGGTCTTATGCAGCTATGAAACTGTAGCATTGAAAAAACTGCCGGCATGCTCTGTTCGTGTTCCTAAACTAGCCGAGGTCATCCCATATTTGGTAAAGATTGAAAGGTAATTAGTGAGCACAGCATGACAGTCTGACGCGCAATAAACAACAGTTTTGACTGTGTTCAACTCGAGCATTCTCAGCATTACATACAGTGAAGTAACTTCTGCCAATTCAAATCTAATACGGAGGTAGCTGGTAGTTGGTTTGTTCATCAAACTCTCCCCATATCTCTTTTGATCAAAACCTAATAAACCGTAGAAAAGCATCGGTGTCCACAGAAAAGGATCATCACCCAACGGCCGCACCTACACTTTCTCGAAACTACTAGACCCACCAGATTAGAAATGATAGATAACAAAGTAGTGGATGGAAAATAATTGAATAGCAGTGGAGAATTAAAATACAGAAGCAGAAGAAATGGAAATAGATAGAAATAAGAAGTTGCAAACAGCCATCGATTTGCACTCCTTCTAGCATTGTATTGGAATGAGCATTGTATGTTTTTTGTGAATTATCATTCCTTCCATCCCATTGGGGCATGTACCGCGCTTCCACAGTGACCAAGAGAATGTTTTAAGAGGCGCATCAAAGCAGAAGGATCGCGTGGCGTCGGTGAGCGGAATATATTTAAAGGGCAAGCCTAGTGCTAAAATGCTCCTCCCTTGCCTTTCCCATCCTTGAGAATCAAACGATTTTTTAAAAAAAATCTTTGTTTTGAGAATAATCTTTCTATATGAGTAAAGGTGAAACAAATTAATTAGGGTGTTGCATTAAGAATATCGCATATTCTTACTTTCACCTCATTGCACAGCTTTCGAAGTTCCGGAGGTACCTTGTTTAAGGAATCTTCCACGGAAAAGCTCCGCCTCCATTACCACAGAAAAACGATACCTTAG